CCTCCTCTCTCCACCCCTCCCCTCTCCCTGAGGGCTGGCTGAGCCCTTCCTCCCTGGCTGTTTTGCAGGAGGTGGGCTGAAACTCACAGCTGCTGCATGACCTCCCCTGGCCCCACATTGGGAAGCTGGCGTTTCTGGTGGGTTTCTGGGGTCTCAACACTACTTGAGCCCTGGAGAGCCGGGGCAGCTGTCCTGGGCACCCTGTCCACATGAGACACTGGTCCCCTCCTGCTGGCCTCTCACCACTACCAGACCCAGCCCCCAGGGACGTCAGGGCCTGTGTCCTCAGGTGCCGCGTGGCCAGCCCTGCAGGCACTGGTCCTGCTGGTCCTGACGCTGCATTGTGGCCACAAGGCCTCTGGCTCCTGAGAGAAAACGCAGGAAAAATGAAGACGGGGAGATCATAGATGTGCATGTGGGTGGCTTTGTCCTCTCGTCCTCGCCCCAGATCCATGCCCTGGTCAGCCTTCAGGAGGTGCCAGGGATAGGATGACAGTGACCATGGGGCCACTGGACGGCAGCCTGCTCTGGACAGGAGCCTGAGGCCATGACATCCCACCTGGAGCTCTGCCCCCAGCAGCCATGGGCAGGAGGCATCCAGCGCTGCGCCTCCCGAGGTCCAGCTGCCTGTCACCAGGGCAGAGCAGCACATGACAATGACCCTAGACACCCCATTGCCAGGCACGTAGCATAGAGGCCCAGGCAGCATCTCCACTGGCCGTGGCCATGTGTGGCGGATGTCCCTCCTGTCACCAAGTCACAACCTCTCCTCTCGTCCAGGGGGAGCAGCTGGAGGTTCAGCTGGCCAGGCTGCCTGTGCGGAAGTTGGCCTACCACACAGGCTGTGCGTGGTGCATGTGTCACCTGCTGCACCTTCTGTGTGCCAGTCACAGACTCCGCCTCCGTGTGCAGCTTGTGCTGTGCCAACTGCAGCGGCTGGAGGAGGAGAAAGGTGGGTCTGCGGATGCTGGCCTGTCATGGCCGCCTGGCTCCTGGGTCAACCAGGAGTTGGGTGGAGGGGACCCCGCTGCTAGCCTGCATGTCAGGGTTCTCCAGATGGGTAGGGGAGGACAGCCCAGGTATCCTGCCTCGGTTTTTTACTCCTCGTCTCCTCTGCCCCTCAGAGAGTAGGAGACGCAGAGCAAGACAAGGCCTGGCCTCAGCCTTTCCGCTGGTGGGGCCTCTCTCATTCTAAGAATACCCCACCACTGCACGTCTGTCCCCTGGGTTCTTCCCACCCAGCCATCTGGGCGCCCGTCTCCAATCCACCCACACTGTCTGCTCCCCAGAGAAGCAGTAACTACCAGGAGTCCTGCATCAGCGACATGAGGGAGGTGGGCCCGGGCCCGGCCAGCAGGGGCTCCCTGGGCAGCAAGGACAGCGGTAGGCAGTGCCCCTCACTCTGCTCAGCCGACAGCCACAGCTGCTCCCACGTGTCAGGCATCAAGGCCAACTCTTAGCTTGTAGAGTCTAGGGAAATGTCTGTGGATGCCCCCTGGGGGCCAGGGAACGCCGTGGGAAGGCTCTGTCCTGCAGCCCCAGCGCCCACTGCAGCAGTCCCACCACACATGGTGACAAGCCCAGGGGGAGGGCAAGTGTGAGCCCCGGTAGCCCTGGCTTGCCTGTTGCTGTGGGAGCTGAGGTGACAAAGACCTGACCTGCCCTCCAAGTGCTGGGCCAGGGAGGGGTCAGGCCATGTGTGATCTAGCTCCCCAAAACATGCTGGAACAGGAAGACAGGATGGGGTCCTTTAGCCTTCTTGGCAGCCCACCTCAGGAGCCTCTGAAACTCCTGGGAAGCCTCTCATGCTCCTGGGGAGACCCTGAGACTTCTGGGGATCCTCTGAGATTCTTGGGGAGCCCCTGAGACCCCATGGAGCCCCTCATGCTCCTGGGGAGCTCCTGAGACCCTTGGAGATCCCCTTATGTTTGTGGGGAGCTCCTGAGACTCCTGAGAACCCCTTATGTTCCTGGGGAGCCCTTAATGCTCATGGGGAGCCCCTGGGTCTCCTGGGAGCCTCTCATGCTTGTGGAGAGCCGCTGAGACTCTCAGGGATCCCCTCGTGCCTGCAGAGAGCTCGGCCAACCAGCTCCCTCCTGAGTTCCCACCATCAGAAAGCCTGGGTGAGACAGTGACTTTTACTCTTAGGCTCAGCTGAAGTGAGAGACAGTCAGAGCTGTGCCAGTGTGCTGGCACTGCATGTCCAGTCAGCCTCGCATGCAGCTGCTTCTCCTGAGGATGCCTGGGTTGGTCTTGGCCATGGGCCCTAGAGCACCTGCCTGTCTCTAGAAAGGCCCAGAGCATCTTCACACCCTCGGCAGTAGAGATGATGGGGACCACTGGGGACCAGCCCAGGGCCTGGCCACACAGGGTCACCTATAGTCAGAAGCCGTGTGTCATAGATAAGACAGTTTTTCAAGCTATGTCACATCTAAGTATCTCTAGAAATAGACAAGCTTGCTGGAAATACTATCTCTGCCAAATAATCGATTCCATATAAGGTTGTAACTGACCAAAAAATGAAATGAAATCATGGCTAACTGCTTTGCTTCACATACCTCTGGGTGACTCAGCATCACCCAGGGCCACTCAGGTCACTCAGGGATACCCAGCACCAGCCAGGTTCAACTGGGGTCACCTACAATCTCCCAGGGCTACCCGGGTCATCCAGGGCCAGGTAGTTCTGTCACTGACCTCTGTCCACCATGGCACTTGTATGTCTGCTCCACAGTGAGGACAGTGGCCTCATCTCTGAGGCTCTTTCCAAGCCCTGTGGTCTGTTATCCTGTGGAAATCGTGCTGACGCACCACATTTGCACAGAAACCGAGACTGAGTTGCTCAGGGCGGTGGCCATGCTGACAGCAGGCAGCATGGGCAGAGCTGTCTGTCCTCGGCCTCGACATGGCCAGGTGGGCACCCAGGTCCCAGAGCTCGTGGCTTAGACATGGCTTAGTGGGCAGTTCCCCACCCTCGTGACGGGAAACCATCCTGGCAGACCCTCTGCTCACACCTTCCTCCTCTTCGTCCTCCTCCTCCTCCTCTTCCTCTTTCTCCTCCTCTTCCTCTTTTTCCTCCTCCTTGCAGCCTCTCACTGGGAGACCTTGGCAGAGGTCAGAACCAGGGAACGGAGCACAGAGGCCCTGCACCAGGTAGGGTCCCACCCTCCACCCTGCTCTCCCAGATCCCCGGTCAGGATTCTTCATGCCTTCCTAGGCCATCCAGAGGGGTCCCTTGACAGACCTTTGAGAGCACATCGGGGAACAGCAAGACTCTGGGACGGCACAGGGTGGGCTCTGGGTGGAGGCCTGCACAGGACCTCGGGCAGTCACCCCAGAACCCAGGCTCTGGGCAGCTCCACCCATGTGAATCAAGGGCTGTTCTTGGGTCCGAGATGTCTCAGGGCTGGCATAGTGGCCCACGCTCAAACTGTTCCTAAAATACACCAAACACTGAGGATCCATGAGTTACATGGAAGTGAAAGTCAGGAAAGAAGCTTGGCTGGTGTGCCCTGGGTCCCGGTGTCAGGGCCTTCCCTACCCAAGGGTCATGGAGAGCTCCCAAAATGCAAGGAAACAAAATACCTGGGCCCCTCCCTCATGGAGGTCACTGCCTGGCCTAAAGAATGACGCAGATGTGTTATTAGGGAAACTGAGGCAGGGTGGGGTGCTGCAGTGCTGTACAGCAGAGGAGCCTTCTGGACGGAGCAGCCTGGAGGCCAGGGAGGGTCAGGCGGGAATCTGAACCAAGAATCCCTGCGGGACTGGTCCATGGGACAAGGCCAGCGTGTACAGAGGTCCATCCAGCAGTTAGGCAGTCACGGCATAGCTTGGAGGTGGAGGTGGCAGGGGTGCTGCTGCAGCCACCACCAGTGTTGAGGGTACTCCATGAGGCTGGGGTGGTAGGAACCACAGGCCTACCCCGAGGTCCATCCCTGCAGATCCAGGAGGTGCATGTCGGGGGTGGTGAGAGCCAACATGGCCACAGCCGGTACAACATGTGTCTGCACAGAGCCCCAGGTCTCGCGCCCACCTGGCTCAGCTTCACCTTGGGCGGTACCCCAGAGTGTGGGCTGGCAGCCCCCCATGAAACCGGGACCACCCTCCACAACCCGAGGTCCATGAACCGCCTCTCCCTGGACCTCCTTGGGGAGTACGCGCCCCTGCAGGAGTTTGTGATGTAGGAGCCATCCATGCTGCAGCTCCATCCACACCCGCCAGCCTTGGGGTGGTTCAGCCCCTTCCATTCCACTGCCACATGACCATGGCACTTCCTGCTAACTGGATGCCACTGCCTTCCTCAGCCAGCATCCCCCATATTTTCCCTTGTAAGAGGAGTGGAGCAGCTCTGATGTCCTCCTGGCAGTGAGACCGGGCCTGCACTCCTGCCTGCCTGTGGCGCACCCGGGAGCTGCTTCCCTTGGGGTCTCTGGGGCCAGAGTTGCTGTCCAGTGTCCAGAAGAGTCAGGGGTCAGCCCTCTGGCAGCCTGCCACCAGACCTAATCTGGGACAGAAGGCAGCTGTGCCCAGACCTGGAGAGAGAGAGAGACCTCTGCAGCCCCCCTGCTGATTCGCTGAGAGACGGTCCAAGAGACAGGCGGAGTGGGCAGGCTTCCGCGTCCCCGACCTGGATGCACGGCGCTATCCCATGCCAGGCTTCCCCAGACCACTCTCTTTGCCACTCTTGGGCCCAGATCCTGCTCACGAGGGCTGGATCTGCCTACAGAGCCATCACCCAGGCCTTGCGGGAGACCCCGGCCACCATCCACACCAGCAGGCCACCACTGGAGGTGGTTCATTTCTTTACCTTTTCTGGCAAGTCGGGGCTTCCAAAAACCCCACTGTCTTGGGGCCAAGCAGGCTCCCCTCCCACCTCCAGCCACAGGGCCCCAGGGCCCCTCCCAGCCTCCAGGTGGCATCCTTGACTCTCCAGGGTGCTGCTGGTGCTGCCCAGCTGGTGGAGGGAGATGCCTTGGATGGCAGATGGGGGCTGGCTCTGCATGTCACCTGCCCTGGCCCACGTGGGCCGCCCTGAGAAAGGTGAGTATGGTGGGTAATGTGACCGGGATGCCGTGGTCTCCTCAGGGCCTCCTCCCTACACAGGATCCCCATGTGCACCTGCTGTCCTCATGTACAGGTGAGTCACCAGGACTCCCTGCTGGTCTCAGGTTCTAAACAGCATGTGAGATCATGATGGGCAGTGGGTACCCTGGACACCACTGAGCTTTTGCTGTGTTTGGTGAAGACATGAGGACCTGCCCTGCCCCAAACCTGCTGGAGAGTGAGAGCAGGATCTGAGCTCCTGGCTGGCATAGGGCTGCTGGGCGAGTCCACAGCATAGGGCTGGCATAGGGCTGCTTGGGCGAGTCTGCCTGGGCATCTGCTTTCTGTGAAAGAGAGAGACCTCTGCAGCCCCCCTGCTGATTCGCTGAGAGACGGTCCAAGAGACAGGCGGAGTGGGCAGGCTTCCGCGGGTGCCCTGGTACCTGCAATATGGAACCCAACCACCATCCAAACTTGGGCCTGCCCAGTTGCCTGGGAGTGAGATGGGGCCTCTGTGGTGGGGAACCCACTCGGGTGCTGGTGGCTACTGGAGTCTGTGTTCCAGAACAGCCGGAGCATCCTAGTGCTGCCAGGGTAAGACTTGCCAGTGACCTGGGTGGGATTTGGGGCTGTGGATAGGGGGGAGGGCAGCCAGCAAAGCCAACTTCCCTGGGTTCCCCAAATGTCGTTCCTCACTGGTACAAAATAGGGCGAATCTACCCTGGCCCAGGTCAGTGACTTCTTCTTTGAAGAAACTTGGGAACGGGAGCTCAGCCCCCAGAGCATCAGGGAATTGTGTGCTGGGGTCGGGCTGGAGCCAGGACACCGGCACACGTGCTCACACACTTGCACACTGACACACATGTGCATATGCACACATGTGCGCACACACACACACTCTTCACATCCAGGCACTGCCTGTTGGTCACCTTGGCCACATGCCATAGACTGTGGCTGCCACAGCCACTGGACTGCAGAGGCCGGGCCAGCCCATCCCTAATCTAAGAGCAACAGCTGGAAGGTGACATGGAGGTCGGAACCTGCATCCTGTGTCCTTGCAGACCCAAGGCCACCGGGACCCCTGGATGACCCTGGAAAGCCACTCCAGTCCCACTGGGAGTCCTATTTCTGTCCTTCCGCTGGGCCTTGATGGCAGACATGGAGAATTATGCCAAGTGTCTACTAACAACCGGGTGCATTCCACCAAAAATGCTGATCTCTGGTCTTTAGGGAATGTGGAGAGGACAATTAGAGGTCTGGCTCTCCAGATCCCTGCTTGGGAGGGGACAGCCAGGCAGGCCACTCGGAGCCACTGGGCTCAGACATCCAGCAGGAGACTGGGTGGGCACCCTTCATGCTCAGGCCCTGTCTTTGCTAACCCCCAATCTCTGCAGCCCTGCCCTGTACCCAACCACACCTGGAAGGGTAAGAGCCATGTTGGAAGTGAAGGCCAGCAGGGAGGGCGTTCCTCTCCAGAGAGGAAACTGGCCATGGAGCAGGGCCACGGGAGGAAGGGAAAACCTGTTTTCCATTTAAGTTTAGACCAAGGGTCTTTTAAGCAGAAGAGCCGTTGTCCAGGAAAATGAACACTGACTGGTAGGGACGGGGCGGTTCCTAAGAGGGACAGGCAGGGCTGGACAGACTCACACTATGACCATGGACTCACACCATGGCCACGCTGTCAAGGGGGTTTCATGGCCTCCCAGGGGTGGGATGAGGCAGGTGGGAGGCTTGAGGCAAAGCCTCAAGTAAAGTCTCCCTCTTACCCCATCTGTGGGACTGGACAGAAACCCACCTTTCAAACTCACCTGGACACCCAGGAGCAGGCTGGCAGCTCTGAGGTATGCTAACAGCAAGCAGTCATATCCTCACATGACCTCGGCCAGGGGTGGCTGGTCCGGCAGCTGGGATCAGGTCAGAGGTCAAGTTGGCAGGTCACAGTCACGAGGCTACCGGAGATGCAGGGACAGAGTCTAACTGCCGCTGGATCTGGCGCTGCTGAGTGCTGCTCTCCCTGCTGGGCTGGGAGGTAGGAGGGGCAGGTGTGGGAGGCACAGAGCGTTGGTCCAGCGTGGTGACAGGGCAGCCTGTGTGTGGGGCATGCGAGGTGTGGGCCTCTCTGATCCCAGGTTCCCAGCCAGCCTCTCTCACGGAAGACGAATTCCAGGCAGCATCCGTCCTTCCTCTGGAAGAGCCTGGCCATGGTGATGGCGGCCTGAGGACCACGCCCACGGGCAGAGAGATTGGCAGTCCTACAGCCACAGCCTCGCTGAGCGTTGGGTCTTCAGTGAACGTGAACTCTGTGTCCTACCAGGCAGGGCCAATGTGCCACCCCACCCAGGAAGATGGCGCTCTGGGCCCATCCAGGTGCTCCCAGGGCTCTACAGTTTTGTCAACTGGCAGAAGATGTCTTAGCCATCACCAGTTGGAACCCTTCCCAGGGCTTGGCCACACACGCCTCTCAGCATGGGGGCACCGCTGGGACTGTGGGTGCCTTGGGGGCTTGCCAAGGGGAGGCTGTCTTAGAGACACACTTGACCTGGGTGTGCAGGGAAATGTTTCCAGCCGGGCCATGTCATCGCCAGCTGTGGGGGTAGCAGGGAGCTCAGGACAGGGAGGCCCAGGGCCAGCGGTCACTTCATGGACTGGACACGTCCTCCCAGCACTGGTTTCATGGGGGGGGTGGGGGCACATGGCAGGAGGAGCTTCCTTCCAAAGCTGGAGCCTCAGTTCTGGCAATTCCACATTCCATGCCGAGCTGGGAAGGGAAGGAGCCATCAGACTGTCATAAGGAGGACATGCTGCAGTCTGCCTGCTAGGAGATGCTGGATGCTTCACAGAGTCCTTGATGAGGTGGTGAGACACACAAGCCAAGTGCTTATTAATCACAGGCAATTAACTAATAAAATGCTGTCACAGGACATTGGATTATCTGTGTTATTTGCCAGCTTTAGAAGGGCTGTGATGTGGTGGCTTCTAGCTTTTCCAGGCATTTATCTTCATACTTTGGATTTTGTGCTCTTATTTTTCTCTGGAGGAGGGTGCCCCACCCCACCAACCATGAGAGCATATGGCCTCAGCACCGGCCCACGGGACAGGAAGCTCAGCCCTGAGAAAGGGCCACAGGGAAAGACTGCTGGGGCCTGGGCTCTGGGCACCTGCCAGCCTGTATGTCACCCTGGGCTCCAGAAAAGGAGTTGGGCCCTTCCCCTCTGCTCATGTCAGGCCAGGGCAGCTCACTCCTCCTACCCAGGCAGCACACGGGTGCAGGTTTCTGGGTCTGTGCTGATCACTGGAGAAAGGTTCTTCTCTTGCGCACATGGATGGAATCAGGTGTTTCTGACACCAGAGCCATTTGTGCTGCAGACACGCAGCTGTGACTTCTCTCCAAGACCCGCTTCCAGACCTGTTTTATGAGCAAAAATTGCGGATAAGAAATGGATTGTTGTTCTTGGTCTGAGCCTGTGCTCTGGTGCCCCCCACGGTAGTGCTCCCGGGACCCAGTGCCGGTGCTTGGGCTGTTAGGGGCTGAGGAGGCTCATCTTCTCAGGGTCTTGGAGACAGGGTGCAGCCTCAGCACCATCCTCCTGGCAGAGGACACAGTGGGCAGCTGTCCCCCCCACCACCAGCCCCTCTTGAGTCCCAAGCAGAGCCTTGGGGTGGAGTGGGCCACGCTCCCAGTCCAGCCCCATGGCAGGCGGAGGCCACAGGCCAGTCCCTGTGGCTGACTGTCCGTCACCCAGTGGAGGCTGCCCTGCGGACAGGCACAGCTCTGTTGCCAGACCCAGTGTGGCTCCTCTCCGTCCCAGGGACGCTGAGGAACACCCCTGGAGCAGTCACTGCCTAGGGCCATCAGAGGCTGAGCCTCTAGCCTTGCATGTTGAGGTCACACCTGGGCCTCCTGTGCTCAACACGGGCCACCACGGAGCTGCTTCCTGGGCTGATGGGTGACATCTCCGGCTGAGACCTGAGCCTCCACTGCATCTTGGGATGATAACACTTTCATTTTCTGTTATCATGTCCTGGGACCTCCTAGCCCACAGTTCAGGCCCATCGCTGCCAGGAAGTATCAGAGGCACAGGGGCATTCTGGTAGGCCCAGGTCCTCCCACCGTCCTCTCCTTTCCATCCCCTCTGTCCCCCACTCTGGCCCATCCAGGGCCCAGGCCTCTCCGATGGGCTCCATGGAAGCTGGATTCATACCCTCTGGGTGACAGATGACCAGGCCCTGTCCTCCCTCAGGTGCCTGCAGGTGGACACTCCACATCACACCACTCCTTGGACCTCTCCAGTGGTTGGTTCTCACCTGTGGTCATTCCTCCTTGTGGTTATTCCCCCTCGTGACCATCCCTCCCCATGGTCTTCTCTCCCCCTGGTCATTGCTCCCCATGGTCATCCCTCCCCGTGGTCATCCCTCCCCCTGTGGTCACCCCTCCCCCGTAGTCATCCCTCCCCCCATGGTCATCCCTTTCCCCGTGGTCAGTCCTCCCTGTGGTTAAACCTTCCCGTGTTCATTCCTCCCCCATGGTCATTCCTCCTCCATGGTCATCCCTGACCCATGGGCATCCTTCCCTGTGGTCATCCCTCCCTGTGGTCATTCCTCTCTGTGATCATTCCTCCTCCTGGATATTCCTCCTCTGTGGTCATTCTTCCCTTGTGCTCAGTCCTCTCCCATGGTCAGTCCTCCTCCATGGTTATTCCTTCCTGTGGTCAGTCCCCTCATCGGCCTGTGTGGGGTGCTAGGTGTCTCCTGGACACCTCACCTGAATGGCCCCGTCTCCTCTGCTGGTCAGGAGGGAAGCCTGTGGCATGTTCCAACATGCATCAAACCCAGGGAAATGCAGTCATGACATTGAAACTGACAGGGTGAAGTACACGCCTCACTAACACACACCACCTAATGCCCTCCCCCTCAGGTGCTGTAATGCGCAGGGTGGATCCGTCCCCACTAACACACACAGCAGCAGGAGGAGGGTCTCACAGCCTCCCTTGGGTGTTGTGATGCTCTGGGCAAATCTGTGCCCGCTGCCGTCATCACACTCAGAAATGAACGCCTTTGGTCGTGTCCCACATGTGCCTTGCTAGAGTCCAGGAAGCAGTGGCAGAAATGGAATGTGTGACATTCCTCAGCCCAGACTCCACCCACAGAGCTAATGGCTAAGAACCCGGGCCCTGCCGCCTGTCCTCCCCATGTGGGGCCATGTGTCCTGTGTGCTCAGCTCTGGGGCTTCTGCCTGGGCAGTAACATTCTTGCAGGGTGAACGGGGAAGAACAGCAAAACAAGACTGACCACCCTGTGGCACCTGCACTGCACGCACCTCCTTCAAGGCTTGCAGCCACAGTCTCACCCTCCCTCTTCAGGTGACGAGGCCACGTGTCAGAGGCTGTGGATCCGTCGGGGGTGCACACAGAGCTGGCATGGTGGAGCCACTGTGAACCTGGTTCCATCTGCCTGACTCCGGAGCCTGGCCTTGTGCATGATGTGAGATGACAGGGCCTATCCGCCCCACACGCCCCCTTCCTGCCTGGTCGCACATGAGAAGCCGCCCACTTGATGGCTGGCAGGCCTTGACTTGTGGTTGTTCATATTCACAGTGGTTCCCTGGGAGTAAAGCCGGGTGTGCCGAGTTCACACACACACTGTTTATTCCTGAGGGCACCAACGCCATGATGCACTGACAGGAAACACACTTTAGGGGGAGGTTCATCTGCATGTTTCTCCCATCCATGCCCTCTCCTCTGTCCGGGAGTGGGGCGGCCTCCTCCCGGCCCTGCCACGCTCGACCTGCCGCGCTCGGGTCCCAAAGCTCAGACTCTGCAAAGTCTGTGCCACGTGCTTCCGGCTGGGGGACACACACAGGATCACCAGCAACTTGGCGTCACCTCCTTGAAAAGAAGAGAGAGACAAGTGACAACAGGGACAAGCATGTGGGGAATTCCAGAAGAGAACGGCTTCCCCAGGGCCAAGATGCTGAACAGCGACCTCAGCCCGGACAGGACCCATCCTAGATGGAACCTCAGCATGGACTGGACCCCAGCCTAGATGGGACCCCAGTCTGGATGAGACCCCAGCCTGGACAGGACTCCCATCTGGATGGGACCCCAGGCTGGATGAGATCCCCCACCTGGACAGGACCTCAACTTGAGGGGACCCTAGTCTGGATGGGACCCCAGCCTGAATGAGACCCCAGCCTGAATGGAACCCCTGCCTGGATGGGCCAGCCGCAGAGCACCACTGTGTTCTGGGCAGGGCTGTGGGCTGGGGTGGGCAGGCTCTGAGATACAAGGCCCAGGTGCCGCTGTCGGGCACTGGCCAATGCTTCGCCTGGGGTAGCAACAGGCCTTCACCCACTCCAGAGTCGAGGGGTCAGGGGGTGCGAGGCCAGCCTAAATCAGGCCTCACACACACTCCCACAAGACTTCTCCACTTCTCTTCTCGTGGAGTCCTGCCTCTCCCGTGAGGACCCGCAGTGGGCTGAGGAGTCGGAGTGGGAACCAGTACAATGGGAAGAGTGAGGAGAGCGCAAACCAGGAGACAGGGACCACAGTGCACCGTGAGGCAAGGCGGCCAGGCCCAGCATGACCAGCAGGCCTCCCTGAGAGCTCACAGGTGGGTGGCACCTGGAGTGGGATCATGTGTGGGGTCGCACCTCACCCAGGGATACAGGTGGGGTCATGGACAAGAGTTACAGGCGGGGTCACACTTGGCCCAGCGATATTGGGTAGGTAGCACCTGGCCTAGGGTTACAAGTGGGATCATGGTCCAGGGTTACAGGTAGGGTCACACCTGGCCCAGGGATATGGGTGAGTCACATTTGGCCCAGGGTTACAAGTGGGGTCACACCTGGCCCACTGTTATAGGTCGGGTCACACCTGGCCCAGGGATATGGGTGGGTCGTACCTGGCCTAGGGTTTCCAGTGGGGTCATAGCCCAAGATTATAGGTGGGGTCACACCTGGCCCAGGGTTACAGGTGGGGTCATGGCCCAGGGTTACGGGTGGGGTCACACCTGGCCCAGGGTTACAGGTGAGGTCATGGCCCAGGGTTACGGGTAGGGTCACACCTGGTCCAAGGATATGAGCGGGTCACATCTGACCCAGGGTTACAGGTGAGGTCACGTCTGGCCTAGTGATATTGAGTGGGTCACATCTGGCCCAAAGATATGGGTGGGTCATACCTGGCCTAGGGTTTCAAGTAGGATCATGGCCCAGAGTTACAGGTGGGGTCACACCTGGCCCAGGGACAGGCAGGACTGCCCAGGGCCCTGGGGACAGGCAGGGCAGGCAGGTAATCAGGGCAGTGCTTACCAATGGCCTCCTGGAGGAAGTGGGTGAGCCTGCTGTTCCGGTAAGGGACGTGGCCGCGGCGCTCTGACAGGGCCCCCAGCACGTCGGCCAGGGCCGCAAGGCTCCGGTTGATGCACGCCGTCTCCCTCAGGGCCACACCAGTCACCCCGGACTTGCCTGGAAGGGTGCAGGGACCACAGACCACACACTCACACACCATCATCATTCACCTCAAGACTGGGTCAGGGACAATGACGCAGGTACCTTGGTGAGCATGAGCCTCAAGGCATTCATGGGAGAGGCCCTGCATGGGAAAGGCACTGACCTGGGACCCTCATCCCACAGCCCTGCCGGGGGTCCCAAGGACCTCTCTCATCTTGGGAGCCCCAAGGGCCCCTCTCACCTCAGGATCCCCTAGGGCCCCTGTCATCTCAGAACACTAAGGGCCTTTCTCATCCCAGGGTCCCCAGGGCCCGTCTCATCCCAGGGGGCCTTTCTCTTCCCTGGAGGCCAACATGTGGCCCACGACTTTGGGATTGCTGTGGGAAGACACCAACCAGGAGACCCTGACAGGGATCGGAAAACCACCTGGAGGGGACACGCCACGCTGAAGCATCCGGGGGTCTGTCCACATCCCCACCTCAAGGGCTTCTGCCAACATGTGTCCACCCAGGAAAGTCGCCAGCCCCGGCTCACCGACGCACTCGCTGCCTGCCAAGTCCACGAGCTGCAGCCTGGCCCACACCTTCTCGCTGTGCCCTGTGGGGTCCTTGGGGATGGGCCTCAAGGGTGAAGCTCCAGGAGACATGCTCCTGCTCCTATCCGTCCTTCCTGCCACCGTGGGCTGAGGCTGCGGGCAGGTGGGCTCCGGGGAGAGGGCTAGACTGCAGGGCCGGCCTAGTACAAGGTGGGGGGGACAGTGTCACAGAGCCCATTGAGCCCCACATGTGACGCTCTGGGCCCAGGCACACCCACATGGCTTTGCCTTGCGGCTTATACCTAAGTGGACGGGAGAGGGGCTGGTGACCATGGGTGCCTTCCCTGGGGAAAAACATGAAAAGGAAGAGAAAAGCATTTTCCAGCATGGAAAGTTGAACGATTGCCTAATCTCTCCAAAGAACATTGATAATGCTCCTTAGAAAGATGTGGTAATGACGTTAATTAAAATCCCAGCTGGAAAACCCACTAGCCCTTTGAGAAGTGAATTCCACGATCTCTGATCATCTTCCACAAAAATCTTCTCTTCTTTTTAATGATGTGCCGGGTCTGAGTGTCATTCCTAAATAAACTTAGAAAGATTATTTAAAACCATAATAATATAGCCGGGTTCGGTGGCTCAGCCTGTAATCCCACGCCTTTGGGAGGCTGAGGTGAGTGGATTGCCTGAGCCCGCGGGTTCGAGACCCGCCTGGGCAGCGAGACCTCAACTCTACAATAAATCAAAAAAATCAGCCGGGCGTGGTAGCGCATGCCTGTAATTCCGGCTACTTGGAAGGCTGAGGTGGAAGGATCGCCGGAGCCCAGCAGGTCGAGGCTGCGGTGGCCGGGAGAGGCCACTGCACTCCAGTCTGGGCGACAGAGTGAGACTCCAACTCAAAAAAAAAAAAACCATAATAATATATATGTATTATGCAAAACATAGAAAATACACCCAATTTTCAGAAAGGGCATGAGATCAAGTCTATTCCCACACCACACACGTAGCCTCCCTCTCTTCTGAGTGTGTCATGTGTTTCTGGTAGAAGTAGCGGGTGTCCCATGCCCTGCCCAGTTCCCATAGGTGAGGCATGCTGTGGCCAGTGGTGCTGGCTCCAGGCAGGCGGCTACAGCCGGCATGTCAGTCAGTGTGTCACCATCACTACAGTCAGCATGTCACCATCAACTCTTCCTCCTGCGCCTGAGCAACCTTAGAGGCCACACATTTCAAGCATCATCGTAACAAAAGGAAGAACACTGGCCCACGCGAGTGAGAAGTAGCCTCTCCTGTGTCAACCCACAGAGACCCAGGGTTCTCGTGACAGATTGTGACACTGAGGCCCCAGGCCTGAGGTTCTCCAAGTGTGTCTCTAGCACCAGAAACGTGCAGAAATGCAGATTCTGGGTCCCATTCGAGCCCTGCTGAGTCTGACTGTAGGGCTAGTGTCTGCCATCTGTTTGCACAAGCCCTGTAGGGGACTGGACGTTATAGCTCAGGGTTGGGATGCCACAGGTCTTTTGACATGACACTGCCCAAGATGCCACAGGTCTTTTGACACATGTCATGTTTCTAGCACAATCGGAATCATTTTATCCATAGGGTAGTTTGCAGCTTAGATTTTAAGCTGAAATTCCATGGACAGCTTCTTTCTCAAGAATGCAGACGTCCCAAAGTATGAATATGCCCATTTTTTTTCTGCTATGTTTTATTTAGCAGGATGACTTCTTCCCGTCTGTGACCCCAGGGGACTCTGGGTTGGGTTTCCAGTTGTCAAATGTGCACTCGGGCCCTGTGAGATGCCTCAGATGCTGCGGATATACTGAGGTTTTTTTCTTTGTAAGTGGGGTTTTCTGCTACTTGCAACTGGCCAGGTGTAAACGGTGCCTTACCGGTGCCATCAGAGCCAGGGGCTGTGGTGAGAGTCACAGTGATGATTAGGTGAGACCTGGACGACTCTGCGTGCACCAGTGTGGGGTGCTGAGCCCGGAGTTGCTGGCCTGCCCACACGAGCCTCACAAGCTCAGCGGCGCTGCCCACTGCCCTGGTGGACGACAAGCATCAGCGAATACCCTGAAGCAGCCAACCCGCCCTCACGGTCACCTAATACTCCCCCACCGACAGACACCACTCACACAAACTAGGTGAGATTTCAAGAAGGTGGGCTGGAGCCGGTCTGGGGCAAAAAATCAAACATGACAAAGTAGCTTTTTTCTTTCTATTTGTTGGGGCCTCCCCGGATCTGCTTTACTCTAACTGCTTCCCCTGAGATAACCAACCATTTCAGACAAAGTCAGAGGCTGCCACCCTCTCTGCATCAACAAAACCCTCAGCTGTGATGTCCCAAGGACCCACGTGTTAACATACTGTGGCCATCAATCATATTGATGAAATGAGAGTTGAATCTGCTTTTCTGCATTAGGGGATGAGACACGACTCCAGATCGGAGCTCCTGATCGGATGACATGTGACACAGTCTGTCCATGGGAAGCTCAAGCTCTGGCCACATGATGCAAATACCTCAAGCTCTCAGGCCCTTTACCCTCGCCACCCCCAAGGCCCTGGGCTCAGCAGCCTGTCCTGGGCCTCCCCAGGGGGCAGCTCCTCCAGTGACCTCCCAGGCTCCTGCAGAGCACACCCGGCCCACGGCAATGGACCAGACATTCATGAACTGAGGAGGCGTGTCTGTGAGATGTGGACCCTTGCTTCTGCAAGAGGGTTCATTATTAAACATTGGTATTTACAAGGTAAATGAGCACATCTGTCCTTGACTGGTTGGTGGGGACAAGTCACTGCACCACCCTGGGCCTGTCTCCTTGCCTGTGAGACAGGATGGTGTCTGTCCCACAGGCTCTCACCAAGAATCACATAGAATATACTAAAAATAAATACTAAATACATATATATACATATATACCAGCTGCCCAAAAAATGTATAAGCATCTTAAGGAATGTTATCTATGAATCACTTTTCGAAGTTGAATTGAATAATGGTAGCAAAGTGTAGTATGATGTTTGCTCAACCGTGCTGCCACCGTTTTCTTTGACTGTCCTGCCTGTCGCATGGTGATGCTAGCATTCATTTGATTAATGCCATTTTTTGAGTGAATGTCATACTTAAAATGTGCATTTTTTTGGCACACACACACACACACACACACACACACACACATATATATTCACACACACATATATACAGATATATATATTCACACACACATATCTATATACAAATATGTATACACACACATATATATATATATATTTTTTTTTTTTAAGAAACAGAGTCTTGCTATGTTGCCTGGGTTGGTCTTGAACTCCAGGCCTCAAGTGAGCCTTCAGGCTTGGCTTATTAATTCGATTGTACAGACTTTAAAAAAAATCTTTAACAGATGTATTAAGATATCATCGATATATACAATTGGATATATTTAAGATGTCTGCCTTGATGTTTTGATCTATGTATACCTTGTGAAATGATCACCCATCTCAGCTCATTAACACCCATATCCTCTCTATGCAGTTACCATGAAAGAAGGATGATTCTTGAAGTAAACTGACACTCATGCAACACCCACTAAGCACTAAAAAAGCACAGCAAACCATTTGCTGGTGAGCAGGACCGATTTGGCCAGCACAGCCAACTCCACTTGGGATCCTCCCGAAGTGGACACTAGTTAAAGAACTGCAGCCTCCTGACCACAGTCACACGGCCACTCACTTCTGGGTCAGCAACGCCACCTCCTTCCTTCCTGCCTTGGTTGTCATCACCTCGCGCTTGACCCCTGACCCTGCTGTGGAACTGTCTTTGGCCAGAAGGTCAAAAATGTCATTGTTGTAAACTTCCACTATGGAAACATCAACTTTTGAGCTTCTTGATGGATCTTCTGAAATAAGCCTGGGGGAGACAAGAAAATAAACCACCAGAGAGACGTAAATGACCCCTTGAGTCAGTCTTAACAGAATGGGCTCAAGGTAGGACACTTGTAGCCCTGGAAGAAACTCAGCAAAGCAGCGTGAACTGTGATGGGAGGCACCTTGACATCTGGGGAAAGGGGACGTGCTACTCAGACAGCAGGGGGACAACTGCTTGGGCAGCAAGTTTGTATAATTGGAGTCATAGTTAACCAGCTGCCATATAATCAGTGCCCTGAGATTCCCAGCACACCAGGTAGAAGCACAAAGAACACATGGATTCAAGAGTGATCCAGAGGAACACATGGATTCAGAAGTGATTGCATCACATTCACCAGGACACAGAAGCCAAGGCTGCGGGGACTTGAGGCTTTTAGCATATTCCGGGAATGGGGCCTGTTGAGTTTAAACTTTTCCTACTTCCGGGAAGATGTGTCTAGCATTCTTCTGTCCCCCTGTGCAATGCAGTCAAGCCCTCCCGTGACCCTCAGAACCCACTCAGACTCTTGAGAAACTGCTGCGTGTCTTTGCTCCCTCTGGTAAGTACTTTGTGCTGACTGTGGAACATTTTAAAAATAAAGACATTATACTTAGAGGGAAAACCATAATCCCACAACAAGGAAAGTACAGCCCCCACACGTGGTTCCCTCCCTCCCTCCTCCCCATGCTTTCTGCTCTGTCCCTTTGGCTAAACTCCCCTCCTGGCTCTGTCACCAAGGGACAGGCCTCCTCTGTCTCTGGGCAAGCACTGCTTCCCTGACACCTGCAAGTCAGATTTTTAGCACTGTGTTCTCCTAGTTCATCGAGTGATTCTAGGGGACAGGATGCGACAAGAACTTGAGGAAAAACCCAGTCAGGCATCTCCCAGTCCAACATCGAGGTTGAGTTTTTTATTCAAATCTAGAAGAGCGTTGTTGTCTAATGATAAACAAGGAAGAAAGCAAAAAAGGCCAAAATGAAAGCGAGTATAAGTAAAATTCCAGGTAGAAACCATGAGTGGCAAAGCATTAAGATTTGGTACATGTGTGCTCAGCACCGGGGTCTGTAAGGACTCTGGATGGAGTGTCTGGGGTGGGAACCAGTTACAAAGGGCACTTGAGAACCCGCCACATGGCAGCACAGTGTACTGAATGTCCAAGGACTCTGGGGGGAGTGTCTGGAGTAGAAACTGACTACGTGAGCATTGGCATCCCCCAGACAAGGCAACACAGTTCGCTGAGTATCCGAAAACCATCTTGGCGTTTGGTCCCTCACATTCCTATGACAGGTTGCGTCTTGGAGTGTCACAAAACCCATATTAGACATTTCTCATCTATGTAGTAACTGGAGTTAATTTGACAGTTCTTCCACAAGCAACTGTTGAGTTTCTGCCTAGATTCTAGGAGCAATGTTGAAACTATGGTTTAGTCTCAGCCTTTAAAAAGCATGTGTCTAGTAGGCGAGATACGCATGCAAACAGTGGCTGTGTAGTGCAGTAAGAACACACCCAGGAGCCTCTGACTCCAGAGGGTGGATG